AAAAAAAATGTATAAATTAATTATTTATTTTATAAGATTGTATTGAGAAAATAAAACAACGATTAATTTTTTTGAAAACTTCTTAAAACTTTTAAGATTTAAAATAAATTTTTATAATATTGATGAGAATATTAAGTTTTAAAAGTATGTTAATTTTTAAAGAAAGCATAAAAGATTATCCAGACTACTACTTTAGACATAAAAATAAAATCATCATATATATATATACTCAAAATAATAAATAATATTAGAATAAAAAAACTCTATTTAAAAACTATGGTATCATCGGGTATTGTTTTTAAATTTATTTTAGAGGAATTGATTTCAAAATATTCATTTAAAAGAAAAGTAAATATTAAGTGTTTTTTGTGTATATTCACAATCAACTTGCAATTAAAAAAAATAATTAATTTTTTTAAAGAAAGTATAAAAGTGTCTCTAGACTACAACTTTGGGCACAAAAATAAAATCATCATATCATATTTATAAAATCGTTTAGTTTCTTATATTTAACACAATTCTTTTTAATGCACTCATTTTATATTGGTTAGGATACTTATATGAAAGAAATTAGCTGAAAACAATGATGAAGGAGTTACTTGAATTGTAAAGTAAATTATAAATTAGTTTTTTTTGTTTCGAGAAATTAATTAGTTAGTGTTTTTAATTTAAAAAATTAATTATTTAATTCTTTTAATCGGTGTTGACTATGGCAATTTTTCTTAATTGTAAAATATCTTTTTTTCTTATCAATCTTTTCATATTTTCACTTCTTTTTTATTCCTTTTCTATATGTTAAAGAAAAAAATAAAAGTAAATTAAAAAATAGCAACTAAAACTAAATAATCAGTTTTTGAAATTATAGAAACTAATGATGAAGGAGTTCCTTGAATTGCAAAGTAAATTATAAGTTAGTCTTTTTTGTTTCGAGAAATTAATTAGTTAGTGTTTTTAATTTAAAAAATTAATTATTTAATTCTTTTACCCAATGTTGACTACAACAATTTTTCTTAATTGTAAAATATCTTTTCTTCTTATAAATCTTTTCATATTTTCACTTCTATTTTATTCCTTTTCTATACGTTAAAGAAAAAAATAAAAATAAATTGAAAAATAGCAAATAAAACTAAATAATCAGTTTTTGAAATTATAGAAACTAATAATTTCAAAGTGGAAAAAACAAGGACTAATTTATAATTTATTCTTGAATTGCAATTGCTCTTCTATGAAAAATAAAGAGGAAAAAGCCAATGAATGACATGAGTGTTAGATGCTCTATCTAAAGTAAAGGATTTGACAAAGAAAATGACGAAAAAAACTAAAGAAACAAATTAAACGTAAATCAATCAAGGCCAAATATAGAATTTTACAAATCTGCTAATTGGCATGATAAAAATTAAAAGTAAAATAGAAGGGCCTTTGTAAGCAAAGCAAAAAAAATAAAAATAAAATAATATAGCAAACAAAACCCAAAAACTGGATTAAAAAGAAAAAAAAAACCATGATATAAAAAGTTAAAAAAAGAGAGTTTGAACAGTTTATAACAGTAAATATCCCATGTCTTTCGAGTGGCAAATTAAAAGTAAAATAGAAGTGCCTTTGTATGGAAAAAAAAAACCCATGATATGAACAGTTAAAAAAGAGAGTTTGAACAATTTATGAATGGTAATTTAATTTTTTTTGTCATTGCTATGAACTCTGTTTTTTCCTTAAAATCTACACACTGGAAATGAATGAATAGAAAGAAATGGTCTTCTTTCGTAGCTTAGCCTTAGCCCACTAAAATTCCAGATGCAAATCTCCAATTTGCTTCTATACATTTGAAAGGATCAAATTCTACTACCAAATTATAGGACAAGAGAAGGAACCTGATGATCTCTTCGTATGAATATTTCAGAAAATTGAATCAGGTCTTCTTTCAATAATATTTGCAATTTAACAAAATCATCCTGTTTTATAGTACAATTATGGACTCGATCATATATTTTTGTGTCAACGTATGCATTAATGGAGAATATATTTTCTTAAAAGCATAGTTTTCACGTCAACTTGATACGCTTAGAAAAATAAATGATTCTAAATTATCGATTTTGAGATTCTAAATTAGAAAAAATAGGCATATAAAAAGATTAACTACAACATATTAGGGGGATTTGCTAACAAAATGATGGCTTCACCTCACTTGATTAAGGTAATAAAAGTCATGAATACAGCTGAATTAATAGTTAAAATAAGCAATATTATCATCACCATAGAAAGCTTAGTTAAACATATTTTTTACCCTTGAATTATTAGGAGATAACAGTTACAGGCCTAAACCCAATTCAAAATAAAGCCCGAAATAAGCCATCTGTCAAGGCTCAGCCCACGATTCAGCAAGAAAACCGAGACCCAAAGAGAAACGCAAAAGAAAGTCCTGGGGTTGCTGGTCTATGAAGTCTGAAGTCTGAACAGCCAAGAAATCCAAGAATTCTGGGATTGAAACTTTGATTGCTTTCACATTGAACAAGTTTGTTACAGAGGATCATAACAACATTAGTTCTTGTCTTTAAGATCTCAAAAACAGACCAAGAACCTGATAACCACCTTTTACCTCTCTTGAAATTCATTGTTTTTGTCTTTACAATCATGCTGATTCTGTTTTAATCTGCTTTTGGTTTCTGGGTTTGGCTTGTTTATGTTGTTTAAGCAACTCATTGAATACTTTTAGCATAAAAAAGTAGACAAATGGAGCTTGGTGTGATGTTTAAAGTTTGAAACTTGATGCAAATTTATCGTACATGTTTAGTTTAATATATGTGTCATCTAGTTTTTACTGATGTGAAGAAGTTTCTTCTTGATGAATGCGAAGAAAATTGAAAAAACCCAAGTTTCAATTAAGTGGTATGTGGAGAACTTGAGGGTTATTTTGGTTTGTTTTGTAGTAAATTTTCATTCTTTTAGTATATGCAATAGAAAAGAATTCAAATTTACAATGCAGTATGATGGCAGATGGGGGAGCTTGCTGTTGATAAACATGTTAAATGTTTTGTATCAGTTGAAAAGGTGAGTTTTTCATTGAACATTCAGCACTTCTGCATTTCCATACTTTACATTTTAACCATGTGATTTGAGCTATTGAACCTGGCTGTTATGATTTTTTTTTTGGTTGATTATGTAACTAAAGAGAAAAGATAGTTTGGAATCGGGTGGTTTCGGAGCATCTTTCGATGAATGGGGCATATCGGGGATTGACCACTCTTGATCTTCTAGGAAAGCTTGATGTTGTGGATTCAAATGGGCCATGGTAAGCTTGGTGATAATCTTTTTTGGCAGGTGGGTTTGCTGGTGATGTTGGACATGATCTCCATATTCTGCATACCCTTACTGCTGTACAAGTTCTGGCCCTTTTTGGCAAGCTAAATGTTCTTGATGCCGATAAAGTTTCAAATTGTATTCTAACTGCATTGATTGGTTGGACTTGAGATTGTTCATGTTTTACTCGAAATTAATTGATTATGCATTGCTACCAGAAAATTTTTAGTCATAACAACTACAATTGGTTTGGAAGATGCTGATTTAGTTCACTAAAAATGACAGTGGGTGAACTTTGTTGTTTTCTTTATTGTTTCGGTGGATTTCATATTCATCTTTTGAAGAGCTGATTGTCTCCTTCAAAACTACATTTCTCTTGAATATCCGGGATTGAAAGCCATCGATCCAGCTTATGCTTTGCCTGTTGATGTTGTACGTAGGATTTTTTTGGCAGATAATAATTTTGCTGATCAACACCAAAACGAATTCCAAAGTGGCGGCTGAAGTCCATTGAAGATTTCAACATCTAGGCATCTTTGGAACTTCGATGGAGCTAGTTTATCGTACAATGTTTTTGCAGGCTATGCGTAATAAACTTGGTAAGAAAATGTTTGTATTTTGTTTTGTATGATGATGAACAATTTCGATTATATAAAACGGAGGCTGCTAGTTCTTGGAAATTGATTTTTGTGCAAGTTGCTGATGTTTATTCTTGTGTTCCTCAAAACTCTTTCTGAATTCAATCCACAATTTTATGACTGCTTAGAGTGAAATCTTGAACAAACATGGCCATGGCCATTGGAGTTTGCTATTTCTTGTGTTTAGCTATACAAGACAACCATTGACTTCGAAATTCACTACGTAAAATAATAATAATTAGGGATAGATAGGTATTGTTTTCGTTTTCATTTTGGTTTTCGAAAATAACAGTAGAAAATTGATTTGTTTTGTGAAACAAACACTTTTTATGAAAAACACGTGCTATTTTATTTTATTTTTGTTTTTTTATTTTTTGGTCCAAAGTGGCTGCCAAATATTGTAATATTAGACGCACGTGCTATTCATTTGGCAAAGCAAGTAACTGGTCGATAAATCTATATAGATGCATCGTAACGAAATCACTACGTATCCAAAACCAATATTGGAATACCAGAAGCTAGCTATCAAACAATACGTACACATGGCCGGAATTAGGAGCATTTCCAAATTTTTGCGGTGGCCAGCTTGGCCAACGGATCAACTTGGAGCCCCAAAGGGAGCTCATTCACAGCCTTGCACTTGCCAATTATCGTCATCGCCATCACCATCACCTTCTTCGTCGCCATTGTCAAAACCTTTGTCTAAACCACTTACAAGTACAGACTCCTTGCTGAAATCCATCCACTTAAATAACACAGTATGTATCATTTCATCAATTATTCTCCGGTCTCTTCTCTTTTGTTACAGTTTGGATTAACTGACTACCAAGAATGTAGTACTGAGTTATCCTGATTTGATCAAAATTAAAGTTCAGCTCATGTTATCTAAAAATAATTAGCTATAATTATCAATAATAGTATTGAGTTTTAGCCAGTTTGGCCTAAAAAGACATCTACGTGATCAATCAAAAGTTAGACATGTTTTGACACTAATTTAACTTATAAAATAATAAATTTAATCTCAGTTAATGTAAAAATTAACTTGAGGATACTTTATTACTTGTTAATATTTAGGGAAAAAAAGTTTGGATTAATTGGTGTTTTTTTTTTTTTTTGCAGGTATTATTGCCTAGTCATGCTGATAGAAAGTATTGCACCAAAACCGTAGAAGAACTAGTTGAAAGCACCCAAATGGTGTTGAGAAAACCTTCTGACCCAGTTTCTACTTTGAATTTAATCGATACAATTCAACGGCTAGGCATTTCGCATCATTTTGAAGAAGAAATTGACACACAACTTGAAAGGTTTTCTGATTGGAATTCAAGAGAAGATCTCTTTGTCACTGCTCTTCGTTTCAGGTTGTTGAGACATAATGGCAAGCCTGCCAATGCAGGTAAAACAACAATCTCTTGTTTTTTCTCGTTTGAAATTTAATTTAATTTACCTTAAGACACTAATATCTTATTCTGCATTTGCAGATGTTTTTCAAAAATTTATCAGCAGGGAAGGGAAACTGATAGAATTCCTGGCTGAAGACAGATGGGGCATGTTAAGTTTACATGAGGCATCATATTTGGCCACAAAGAATGAAGAAATGTTATTGCAAGCCATGAACTTCACCAGGACAAGTCTGCAACAACTAATGCCTTTTATGAATTCAAACTCAAGAAACTATGTAGCTCAAGCCCTGAAACTTCCAAGGCATTTGAGGATGGCAAGGCTGGAAGCTAGAAACTACATCAACTGTTATAGCAGAGAAAGCAACTTTAATCCAGATCTTTTTCAACTAGCAAGTTTAGATTTTAATATGGTTCAGCAACAGCACAACACTGAGTTGACTGAGATAATCAGGTGATTAAATTGTTCTAGCCCATATGCTGCTTCAGCATGATTGTAATCCATCGCGATAAGGACTAAAATCGCATGTTTTTATTTTGATTGTTTTGTTTCAGGTGGTGGAAACAATTAGGCCTGGTTGATAAGTTGAGTTTTGCTAGAGATGGACCATCGGAGTGCTTCCTATGGACAGTAGGAGTATTTCCAGAACCATATCATTCAAGTTGCCGAATCGAGCTGACGAAAACGATTGCGATTTTACAAGTTCTTGATGATGTCTTCGACAGTTATGGTTCTCTAGATGACCTTATTCTGTTCACCGACGCGATTCGAAGGTTAGTTATTAATTAGATCCATTCTGTTCTTAAATGCCTTATTAAACAGCAATTATCCTTAGAAACACAAACTGAACATGTCTTGTTGGATTACAGATGGGATCTTAATGCAATGGAGCAGCTCCCAGAATACATGAAGATATGTTACATGGCGTTGTACAACACTACCAATGATATTGGCTACAGAGTCCTCAAAGAACAAGGCTGGAACACTGTCCCATACCTGAAGAGAACAGTAATTTCTACAGATTTCCTTATCTTTTTCCTTTTTCAAATCCATCATTTACCAGAGAAAATGAGAGAAAATTTGTTGTTCTTGCAGTGGATAGACCTCATTGAAGCTTATCTAGTGGAAGCAAAATGGTTCAACAAGGGATATGTACCTGCTCTAGAGGAATACCTAGCTAATGGGGTGACCACAGGAGGCACATACATGGCATTGGTCCATGCTTTTTTTCTCACAGGACAAAATGTTACAAATGAAACAGCAGCAATGATGGAACCATACCCCAACCTCTTCTCTGTCTCAGGACAAATTCTAAGACTCTGGGATGATTTAGGAACTGCAGAGGTATGTAACTAAAAAGTTCCAGGAAAATGTCAGGATAAAAAGCCTAATCCAAAAAATGTAAAGTTTATTACTTGAATTTCTTACTTTATTTCCAGGAGGAACAAGAAAGAGGAGATGTAGCATCAAGCATAGAATGTTATGCGAAGGAGAAGGGTTTTTCTAATGAAAAGGAAGCAAGAGAACACATAAGGAATCTCATTAGCAGTTCATGGTTAGAGCTCAACAATGAATTGGTGGCTCCAACTACTGAATTGCCTCTATCAAGCATCAAGGCATCCTTGAATCTTGCGAGAACTGCCCAAGTTATGTACCAGCATGGAGATGATGAAAATGCTTCTACTGTTGCTGATAATGTACAAGCATTGATATTTAGACCCATTAGTTGATCTTTTGTTCTTCACTTCCACTTGATTTTTTCCTTGCTGTGCAAAATTTCCTTCAACTAAATCATGCTAGCAGGAATCAAAGGTTTAAATTTTTATGGGGCGGCAGCTTTATAACGTGGGTCAAGGGATCACTAGCACTACGTCGTGCATATGCTGTCAATTGTTGTCATTTGTCAACCCAACTGTCCCTGTCTTTTTTTTTTAATTATTATTATCTTGAAAACTGAATCAATTTTCAATTAACAAGCTGAATAAATAAAAAGAATTCTACGAAAGAAAACAAAAACAACATATAGTTAAGATGAACTCTGTTTTTTTTTTCTTAAAATCTAGATACTGTAAATGAATGAATAGACAGAGAAGGTCTTCTTTTGCAGCTTTGCCTTAGCCTACCAAAATTCCAAATGCAAATCTCCAATTTGCTTCTACACATTTGAAAGGATCAAATTCTACCGCCGAATTATAGGACAAGAGAAGGAACCACTGATGATCTCTTCGGATCAATATTTCAGAAAATTGAATAACGTCTTCCTTCAATAATATTTGCAATTTAAC